TTTAACAAAAAAAAATAAAAAAGCTAAATCAAAATCAAAATAGAATAATCCAATCAACAAAGCAATTCACAACATATTGTGCCAACGATTAAAAATGTCAATAATTGTGGTTTCTAATATAAAGGAAAATCGTCCAAAGAAAAAGTTGAAACAATATGTGATAAAAGTTACAGTTCCTCAAGCAGTAAAAAGGAGTTTATCATCCTCACAAAATTAGTTTTATCTCAAAATTAATTTCAATGAGTATAAATTCACAGGGGGTATAGTTGAAAGTTAATTTAATTAAATAGAGTGAAACTGTAAGTCAAAGTTAACAGACTAACTAAATTAAAATAAAAATAAAAGATAATAAATAAATCTAAAAGTATTTAAAAATAATAGGCAAAACAAAAAAATATATAAAAATTACTAAACTATTTATTAAATTAAACTATAAAAAAATTACAAAGATTTACATTTAAGCAAACCTTTTGCATTTATATCGAGGTGTGGCTTTTGTCATGTATTGACCTATGAGTTTTGAACATAACAAATTTCCAATTGCTTTGCTTTGTAACCGGCTGTATGTCCGTACCTAGAATTTTCACAATCCTGAACAAAGCTAGCCGATTATTTTCCGCAACTTTCTCAGATTCTTTTTTAGGGGAATATGCAAGCCAAAGATGCCCTAACTCATTTTCTCTATAGGAAAACAACTTAATTTGATAAATCATCTATTAATTATTGACATTTTTTGATTTTAATCTAAAATTTTTATTTTTTTTGCTAAAGTTGTCTATTAAGCTTCCAAAATTACATCAATTTCATCTACTTAAAAAAACCCCGTTAGTTAGATTGACAGAAGTTCATGGCATTGTGGAAGCTGCAGCGCAAGCAATGCATAACTTGAAAATAGAAGGAAAAATCTCGTCTCTTGACTTCCCTAACCTAATTAACAACAAATAATTAAATTATAATCCAATCTAATTTAAAAAACTTAATCAAAATAACAAAAATAAGATTAATCAGGCCTCATGCTATTTATTGACAGCTTATGCAATGCTACACAAGTGATGACATGAACTTCTATTAATCTTATTAGTGGAATTTTGTTAGTTAAAAATTAAGATAAGTTTAAAAATTAATAGATGACTTTAAAAAAAATTTAGATTAAAATGAACAAGTATTAA